CAATATTTTTAATTTCAAAGGACGATTAAAGCAATAAAAAATAAAAATTTGTTTTAAAAGATTAATCATTTTATGTATATATATATATCATGATATTCAAATTTTTGATTAATTAATAACTTATATTCTTAAAATACAAACTATGTAACTATGTAATTTTACATTACATTTAAATACAATAATATTTTTTCATTTATATAATTTTAATTTCCATGATATTATACATATAATTTGGATAAAATTCCAAAAAGATTCAATCTGATCATTATAAAATTTGGAAATATAGAAAGAAAGAAGAATCCAAATATAAAATTTTAAATTCGAGTATTAATTTCTAAGATATAAAAAAATTTTCATTGCTATATTTTTAATTCTAATTCTAATTCTATATAAAAGTAACTAATGCAATCGTAGAAATTATCATTAAATATTTCATAATATTTATAGAATTTAAAGTATTAGGTAAAATCTTTAATTGTTTCCATAAAAAATAGCAAATATATATAGATAAATATATATAGATAATAATTTCTTCATGGGAATTTTAAATTCCGAGTTAAATAAATTATAGAATTGTTTTCATTCAAAAATAACCCAAATAATAACAATTGTCACATTTGCATATCAAATGCTTTTATTTTGGCAATTTTTTTTTTTATTTCTACTCATATAGTATAATTAATAGTATTTAATAAGTCAAATTTCTTGAGAATGAGTGATCAGATTTTTGTTAGATTGTAAATAAAACATCTTATAGATGAGCTCGATATAATTATTATGTATTACATAATATCCTACAACGGCAATAATAAAGATTATTGTATTAATAATTAATTTGAATAAGCCATTTTAATGATTACTAATATCTATATACTTTTAATAATTTTTATATACTTTTAATATACAATAGAAAATATTTCAAAAAACTAATAAAAATTCGAAATCTTAAATTTAAGATTCTTTTCTCCTACTTAAATTTTCTACATAAATTTATTTGATAATCAGGAACTATAATCAATGTTATTTGTAAATATTAGTTAATCTTAAAATAATGATAAAATAAATTGATATTATTTTTTAATAGAAATTGAAACATATAGATATATATTTTACAAACACATATTCTACCTGTTTCTCGTTATTTCCTCTCAACCATAGTAAAGCCTTTTTTGCTTTGTCGGGTTTCTTCCGTCTTATGAGCCATGCGGGACTCTCCGGAATCAGGAGCAACGCAATTAATGCTGTCGTAGGAATTATGATTCCGCAAAAAGCCACGATATCCCATGTGAAAGAAGCCCCTAAGGCATATATTATGAGAATTCCGAAACAATAAAAGGTTAAAGTACATCCTGTTAATAATCCACGGAGTTTCGGATCGGCCATTTCACCCAGAAAAACCTAAAGACAAATATCTAATATATATGTTATAATAATGTGTATATATATTAAAATTATTATATTATATATATATTATAAGAATATATAATATATTATATATATTATAATTAAATCTTAATTTATATCTTTATTTATATCTCTAAATCTATTATTTATTTAATGTGATTTAAATACATTAACATACATTAAAATACTATCATGGATAAAGCTAGTAAAAGCTATTTCTTGTTCTTATAATCTTAGAATTTTTATAATCCTTATAATTTTATCTTTTTATGTAAAACTAATGAAATCAATTCATTCTAAAAAAGTATAAAAATGAAAGAAGTCAATTAAATTTCAATAGATAAAAGACCAAAAATAGTAAATAAAAAATAGTCACAATTTAAAAATATGACATCGTGTTATGTATAGAATCAATACATTAGTATCGATTAGTATCAATTCACATTATATGTATTTTTAATAAAAGTGTTCATTTAATAACAAAATTCAATTCATTTAATAACAAAAATATTAATATGTTTTCTTATCTCGATAAAAATTTTATATTTATTATCATTAATCATCATGTGATGATTGAATGCCATTTATGTATCGTGAATAAGATTGACACATGCTAGATTATATTGTTAATTCTGCATTGATAATGAAGAGGATATATCGCAAAAAATTAACAAAACTATAATTCGGCAATATTCACTTTATGATACATACGAAATAGAATAATGGGAAAAAAAAAAAATTCGGATTTCGACATTTGTGAGTAAAATAAATGACAATTGAAAATATACTTTTATGATAATGTATGATGTGAATAGTTCATTGGTTGTGTCAATAGTGTTATTAAGACAATATACCTGTGAATATATCAATGCTGCATATCATATATGCTCTTCAAATATTATATTTATTAAATATAATAATATAATATAATAACTTTTATTTATATGAATATATATATACATTCACGATACATGTAAAGGAAGGAAAAAATAAAATATTAAGATTTCTTACTTGAGCTGGTGCTGCCATTAGACCAACACCAAAACCTAATACAACTCTTCCTACTAAAAGACAGGGAATATTTGTAGAAAAACCTATGATGAACCATCCAACGGATAGCGGTACTGCTGAAAATTGTAAAGCACCACGCCTACCGATTCCATCTAATAATGGACCGGACATCAAAGATCCAATAGGTGTTGCTAAACTGTGAACTGATGCTGAAAGATAAATCATAAAAGCATATATTTAAATATATAATGACTTCAAAAAATATTAGCATATTGTTTAAAATACAATAATTTTTTAAAATTGGATTTAAGAATTTGAAAAATTAAATTTTATTTTGAGAAATTAAAAAAATTAATTTATTATGATGTGAAAAAAATTTCGAAAAAATTACAATTTGTCATAATTCCAAAAATAATTTAAATTTATTAATTAGGAATTATATTTATAGAAAACTAGTAAAAAAAATATTCTTGCAAAAACAAGTATTTGCTATATTAATAATATAAAAACATATTTTGAATTATTCTTGCAGCAAGTTTGCGTATGTTCAAATTAAATAATAGATTAAAATTATATTTTGAAAATTTAATTTTAATGTGTTATAATCCTTTTAATCTATTAAAATGTTTTTGTATATTCTAATACAAAAATATGAAAGCCTATTTATTTAATTAATATAAAAAAACGATTATAATTAAAAAAAAACTTGCAATTTATATAAAATTAGTAATTTAAAAACAAAATGGTAATCAGGAAATGTAAGATTTCCTAAAATTGAAAATATATTCATAAATTATTATATAAAAGCTAAGAGAGATTATACCATTTAAAAAAAAGACATATCTCAATAACAAGGTTATATCCTTGGTGATTACACTTGGTCTTGAATCTCATTGATAAAAATTATTCAATCAGACAATATGTAGGTCAGTCGTGACACGCGACATAGTAGAAATAATCAGACAGTCTGATAGTGCGTATTACATCAATCATAAAATATCCTTGAACTTGTAAGCTAGTTCTTGAACTTTTGTTTCTTGATGCATTTTCAAACGAAATTATTTAGAATTTCTTTAATAGTAAATTTAACAAGATTCTAACTCATTAATCCTTAATAATTATTATTTTTAACTAACTATTTTTAAATTATTTCAGGTTCAAGTTTTAAAAAATGAAATAAAATAATGCATCTTCAATATTTTACATAGTATACTTTTTATTTTAATAAATAGTATACTATACTAATAATATAAGAATAAAATTTGATTGTAATAAAATTTAAAAATAAAATAATAATAAAATTTGATTATATATCTAATAATATTAATAGTTATATTTTTTATTTTATTATATAAATAACTTTATTATAATATTAATAATATTTATTATATAATATAATTAATATTTTATGATATTTTCATAATTTCATTAAACTTTTTTATTTTATTTTCTTTATTTTATATATAAAAAAAAATGTAAAAAAATAAATGATATGTAAAAAAATAAATTATATAGAATATCAATAATTTTAATAAATTTATATCATTCTTATAATGAATATTTTTCTGTAATAGTTTCTTTTTTCTTTTTTTTTTTTACGATTGAAATTTTATTTTCATGTATATTTTTATCAACAGATAAATAACAATTTCCAATTACAATAATAATCTATTAACTATCGCTGAATCAAGACCAAAACATATTAGTTATTTTGGAAAATAGATATTTTAAGAATTGTTAACAGTTTTTTTTCAATTGTATTCGCTTTATTGGTTCATAAAAAACAAAAGAAAAAAATGTTTCTTAAATGGCATCTCTCTTGCATCAGCATTTATTAATCAACAAAGCTGTTTCTATTAGTAAGAAATATAGATTTGCGCATTGCCTTATGTGTATAATTTGAAAATTCAAACGGTAAAATATTAACTGATGTCGATAAATATAAAAAAAAATAATGATACTAAATATGTGTGATCGACAATAGAAAAAAAAGATAAATGAAAAAGTTTGAATAAATAATGGAGTGGTACGTATATTCGTTGCTACAATTAAACCAAAATGCTTTTTTATAGGAATTATTTTTCTATTTAAATTTGCATCACTTAATTTTTTATCTCATTAAAATTAATAAATGCTTAAAATTAATAAATTTAAGGTTTGATATTTTAAAAAAAATTTCTTAATCTTAATCGTTGCATTTATGTACATTCGAGATTATATAAATAAATATTAATATAATGTAAAATTAAATTTTAAATTCAAAATTAAATTTTCCGTAAAATTGAGTATTTTCTCATATTGACGAGTTGAATATTTATATGTCGGTAAAATAATAACTTATGTATATGTAACTTATATAAATATTGATAAATTCAATTGAATAAATTATTAAATTAATATTAAATTATTATATTATTATAGCATATATAATATAATAATATAATATAATAATAATATAATATATATAGCAAATATCAACTGAATGAGAAACGCGGTTTTATGAATGAGATAAAAAAAAAGTATTTAATGTTTTGTTTTACGATATGATTTTAAATTTCTAAGAGATATGTACATTCCTAAAAAATCGAAATTCTAATTTCAAAAATTAGTAAGGATTTTGTGACAAAAAATCGGATATTATTATATATTAATTCTTTGAATGTCATTAATTAGATAATTTTGTAATTATCTAATTAATTATATTATTTTTATCTATTTATTTATATTCTTATAATTATAACAAAATTTATAAATAAATAAAGATATTATCATTTAATTAGCATATTTAGTATTTTTTATAATCTTCGAAAAACGAAAATATAAATATTTCTTTATATGTATATGACATATTCATAAGACATTAGCACAATGATATAATCACTACGTTTAAAATTATTTTAAAATTATTTCTTGTATTTTTCGTATTATTTTTTTTAAATTTATATATTTCGGTAAAGAAATATTAATATTACATTTAACATTAATATTTTTTTATAGATATTTTTTTATAGATTGTTAATAAATATAACATTTTAGATTAGATAATTTCTTCTAAATTATATCATCCTTCTTTATATTATATTGGTTTTTATGCTAAGACATATATATATTTTATGCTAAGACAAAAACAAAATATTTTTAAAAAACTTTAAAAATTATATCATTCTATGTACTTAAAACATTTTTTTATGATTTAAGTTATCATTAGATATAAATCATTTAAAAATTATAAAGATATATCATTTAAAAATTATAAGCTTCTAATATCATAAAAACTGATATAGTAATATTTCTTTATCGCATATTATTATATTTTATATCATTAGCACTAGATTAATTTTTATCGACAGTATGTGACTTTTTTGATCATAAAATTTTATAGTTGGAATTTAAGTAATTTTATAGTTGGAATAAAAGTAATTTTAAAAAAAAAGTATAAAAAATACAATATTTTGAAAATTATATTATGGAAAAATTTTTCTTATAATGTAGAACCAATAATTGCGTTATAAATTGTTAATAGAAAATTTTAATAAAAATTTAAAAAAAAAACAAATTAAATATAAATATAAAAAAATATAAACTCCTAAAATATTTGATTTATTACATTCGATTATAAACAAATTAATTTAATTATCATTAAAAATTTTTATTTTTCAAATTTTTAATCTTATTTTAAAAAAATCAAGTTTAGTAAATGATTTTGACTCTTTAACTTTACATACCTATCCATGATCCAAGTTCCTGATCAGCGTGCATCGTGCCATTTTCTTCAGCCAATTGTGGTAATAATGTAGCACTGTAACCAATTGGCATTCCTCCAGCGGCTGCTACTAATAGAACTGCACCAGCTAATAAACACTAAAATATAATACTTAAAAAAATGCTTTTCTAAATAAAAATTTTTTTAAAAATTTGTATACAATAATTAAAGAAGAATAAAAAAGTATATTTTTAAACAAATTATGAATCGATTTTTTTAAGATATTTTAAGAACGTATATTAACATTCTTTATCTATATATACATTTAATATATATATATATATATTTTAAACTTATATATATATATAAATAATTTGTATTTTATTTATAAAATATCTTTATACATATACATCTTTAAATATAAAAATGTATCACTTATTTTTCAAAAGAAAAAAAAATAAATAAATGTTTCTAATAATTATATAATAATAATATAGTTTTCAAATAATTTAAAAGCAAAAGAATTATTATATTAAAAATATTTTTTTTTCTATCTTTTCTCTGTTCTATTTATATATTCTTTTTATTTGTATATTTTGCATATTTTTAGATAGTATACATAATTCTATGTATTTTATGTAATTTTCTTACCTGTGCAAATATCCCTTTTGAATTCGATGAATAATGTATTACATTATCTTTATCGTTAAAAATTTTGTCTTTATCTTGAGTATTATTATTTTCTATATCTTCACAAACACTTTTAACTTCGTTTACTTTTGTATAATCGACTGTAGAATGTTCCAATATTGAACAACATTCTTCACTAAAAAAGCAAAAAATAAAAATCTTATTTAAATCTTATTTTAATTGTTTAAATAATAATATAGGAGAAATTTAACTTTAATTAAATTAAATTATGTTAAATTAATTAAATTAATTTATTAATTAATTAAACTTAATTAATTAATTAAATTGAAAACTACAATAATTTTTATTACATTAATATTACATTAATATTTATTTATTAATTATTAATTAATATTTTATTATATAACATTATTAATTAATATAATATATAATATTATTTATATATATTATTATATTATTTATATATTATTATATTGTAGTTATTTTTAAATTTTTGTCTCTAAATTTATTGTCTCTAATTTATTTCTAAATTTTGTAATTTTAAATTAATAAAATTAAT